ATCACATTGACATCCCCTTTTTATTATCATTTTTCTTTCCTTCAACCCAGTTATTTATATCAGGAATAATTTAGAGCATTGTTATAGACTACAAAATCTTGAGTCCTAAATCTTTAAGTTCTTTAAATTATGAGATCATTGGGCGGGGATGTTGCTCAGTGGTAGAATACTTGCCTTCTATGCACAAGGCCATTATACCCCCAGCTCTGCTTCTGACCCTACCCCCCAAAATAGATGAGATTATTGTACCAAGGTCAATTTACAAAGAAGCTAATTGCTTCCAACATGGTGACACCTACAGTAGTAGAGCCAGCCCAATGCAGAAGGTCATTTACTCACCCATATATTTACTAAGATCCAACACTTTTTAAAGCTTTTGATATATAACAGTGAACATTGAAAGCAATGGTCCTGTTGTACTAGAAATTATGATTTACTGATAAACCCTCTGCAGGAAATTAAAATGGAGAAGTTCTAAATTATAAGAAGAAACTGATCACATAAAAATCAGAGATAAAAACATTCCTGGAAGATAATAATGAGTCTTTAGGTGAGACCAAGTCTGGCATTTTGCAGAAGCAGAATCAGTTCCCTCTATGGCTTATGTGTGTTGGGTAGATGCTGTTAGATATGGTCAGGGGTAGACGGGACCAAATATTCTGTGTCTTCATAAGGGAGAGAAATTTAGACTTTATTATGAATACACCAAAAAGCTGTTCAGGTTGTAGGTAGAGGAGATGTGATGCAAAGTATGATTTTAAAAGTTTATTTTCTCTGCTTGGAAAGATGAACGATCAGAAAGGGGCAGGAAGATCAGTCAGGAGTCAGATGGCAGTGGACCAGGAAATGACATTGACAGAGACAGAGATGGAATGAGTGAGGAAGATCTGAGCTATGATTTTGTGGCAGAGTCAGCAGGTCCCACTTGTGATTTTTGGGGCGGGGAGCGGGGCATGGATTATCAAGGAAGACATTTTGCTTAGCTTGAGCAGTGGTTTTGGCTGGCTAGTGGAGTGGTTAGCTAGTGGAGATGAAACACACTTAGTAAAAAGAAGACTGAGGATGAGGGATGGGGAAGGTAGTGAACATTTCTGTTTTGAACATGATAAATTTGAGATGCATATTAGACATCCCTTAGAGATACTAGCCTGGAGATAGGGGTAGAGGTCAAGGCTAGAGATATAGTTTTGGAGTCATTATCATATAGATGAATTTGAGGCCATGGGAGTAGATGAGATTACCTATGGAGAGGAGATAAAGGATCCCTGGAATGAGCCCTAGGGCACTTCAAAATTTTGAAAGCAGTACTTTTCCTTAAATAAATGTCTTTCTATTTAACTAGTAGATTTAATTTCAGAAGTTTTCCATGAAACAGTTGTAAGCCAAAGCTAAGCAATCATTATTTTTTTCTTTAAAATATTCTTTAATCCCCATGCCCTAAAGGCCATATATAAAGTTATAAGTAGTTTAATAAGAGAAATATGAAAATACACACAGTGACACAATTTGTGTAAGAAGGGCTTCCTGATGATTGCTTTGTACTTGATGGCATTCTGCTCTACATTTGGACGTTATCTGTCATTCAGACTTCCACAATAATGGGTTGTGATTGTGTGTGTTATACCTTTCCAAGCTGAGAAGTAGGTGTTATTTTCTATACCCTATGAACTGTACCTTCATGAGTTTAAACCCTGTCAGAAGAATAGCTAGAGACTCCCTTGATCACAGAACAATTGCAGCTCAGAATTACTAAAATCTTCTTTATGCTTCTCATTTAAGGGTACGATGGTACCATTCCCATCTCTAGGAACTCTGGGTTCCTAAGCACAGTGTTATTATACTGTGTCAATTTCAAGGCCTGCTAGCTGCGGGTTTGAAATAGCTGCACTCTGTGAAACCCAGCCTTTAAATCCCAGGAAAGGAGGTTCAACCCTTTATTGTCTAAAAATAAACCAACTCAGTTGGGAGTCCTTCTGATGATGCCCTCGAAATTACCATCCTTCATGTTCTGTATGGAAATAAGAGCCCTGGAGAACTTTTCAATATGACTCTTGAAAAAAAATGTTTGTTTCTTCCTATCTGTGTATATCACAATCCGTGGTTGCTTATCAATCTTTCCCTGGAGGACAGGTTATTTCTTTTATGAAGATGCATGTCAGTTTTATGTGCCAGCCCATACCACTCCCTTTTTGGGACTATTCTCACACTGAGACATACACTTATCTTACTTTTGCTTTTCTGATTGTTCATACACAGAAGCTATTTCTGATCCTAATAGGAATTACAAAAATCATCTTCCTTAAGTCCAAACTGGCACCAGGTGAAGTGGACTTCCCTGCCTATCTGCACTGCCTTCCTGATCTGTTTCCTTTCTGACTTCTTTTAAGTTCATGAGCTTATCCTATTTGACTCTATTCCCAGCCTGCTCCCAGAACTGAGTTTATTATCAGAGCATATTCTTATCATAGCTTCACTCTTCTGGTCTCAAAATTCCACTAAAATCCTTCTTCTGTGACATTCACTCCCTTCATCTGTATGTTCCTCAGTATTCCTGGATTCTCTCATTTAATAAAGATTCATGTTTTTTTTTTTTTTTTTTTTTTTTACTTTTTTAAGTAAACACCTTTTATGTCCTATTCAACTAAGTTCAAACCCTACAGAGAGGAGAATGTCATGTCCTTTAGGATATTCACCTCAACACATTTTGAATAATAACGTGGTCTAAGATAATATTTTCCTAAAGTACATACACTAATGCTGTGATCCTCTATTACATTCAGTAAAATAATTATCCAAATGGATGTTTTTCATTTTACTCTTCTTACCATTTTCATATTTTTTAATACAATTTTGGGTTTCCTTTGAGGATTAACCAACTTAAAACAAGTCTTGAGCATCCCTTTTTTTTTTTTTTCATTTTACATTCTTGTCTTGTCGACCTTTCCAAAGTAGAGGTAATGACCAGGAGTATTTCTTCCATACTGACCTTCTACTTCCTGCGCCAGTTTTCAACTCTTTACAAGTAAAGAAGTTAATAAAGGAAGAAGAAGGAACTTTGATGCTGCCAACTCTTAAGCAATTTAAGCTGTGACTTTACTAACCTTAAAGTAAATGAAGCCGGAACCAGTAGCTGCACGATCAAATGCTGTTACAGGATAATTTAGTCCAATTGAATATTACGGTAATGGGGAAGAAATGAATTCTGTGCACATTGAAGTTTCTATTTCTCCAGGAGAATTAAACTGCTGAATGCCCATGTATCCCCATTCAAAGTAACTCCAATAAACCTTGGCCTGCTGTGTGAATGTGAAGGTCAGAGTTTGTTGACCTCACTTTCTGAAATAGATCTTGAAACTGGAACCACCCATTTCTACTTGCTCTTAAAATTGCTCAAGTGTTTTCTGTACAGTTTTGAAGGACTAGTTTAATTTAACAAATGAGCTATATCAGAATACCTAAAATGACTTTATTCAGTTAGCTTTATGATTCCAAGGATCCTGTGAAATTTTATAACAATCAATGGATATACAATTGAGGGCCACACATGTGCTAACTTATTGAGTTACTGAGGATATACTGCAAATATTTGTTAACTTTACCTCTGGCATTAAATGCTAAGAGTTTTATATTTTTTTTAATAAAATATTTTATCCCCAAAAATGTTTTTAAAAAATTATGGGAAAAAATGCTGAATGCTTGTCGTATTTATAAAGGACATACTATTTAATATTCTTTCATCCATTGGCCAAGATGCTACAAGCACAGAAAAATGAGTATAAATCCTTGAGAAAACACATAGAACAGAAAAAAAGTTAAAACATTATCACCAGCTACTATGGTACCAGAAATTGGAAAGGAAAGAAGTAAATAAAAGAAAAATTCTATATTCATGAAGTGGGGAGAGAGAAAGGAAGATGGGAAGGAGGGAAGACCAGGAAGTAAGTCTAGAAGAATAATAGAAACAACATATATGAGGGAAGATCTGAGTGATATTAAAGAGACAGAGAACATATTTAAAAGAGAGAGAATATCTACGCCAAGACCAAATTATTTTAGTATGTTACAGGACAGTCACATGACTGTTGTTCATATTTTCTATAAAGAGAGAAGAGAGAGCCTCCAGATGTTCCTTATGTATTGGTATTATAAGCAATTATGTAACCCCGTGTATGAATTTCACCCAAAAGTGCCTGTTCTAAGTTAAGCAAATTTGTTTAAACTACATCTTATATTTAACTTCTAAGCCATTTTCATGATAAATGGATCAACTTTTAGTGGGTACTCAAAAGACATCCTAGTAATGCTGAATAAGACTTGTCAATGGGCAACATCTGTATAGCAGTTTACCCTTGTAGAATATGTTAATTCAAATAATTCTGAAAAGCACAATGGGTCACTAAGATCTTTCCATCTTAGAATGGTAAATGTTATACTTTCCATATCCTACATATTGCCCCTGATTTTATATTAAATTTTATATTACATTGAAAAAAATCCTTCTGATCCATCTTGTAACTATTCATCCATCATTCCATCCATTCATCTACTCATTACTGATACTGAATAATCACTTAATCAATACCTGCTTTTTGTCCCCCACAATGCTAGATGCATAAGAGCATACATACAGAAGTATTTGAAATGGTCTTTTGCTTCACTTTGAAAAGGTCACATGAAATTATTTTTCACTCTATTCTCCACCACATGATTATGATTAACTTTTCTCGGCATAATTTCACTGCCCTAAGAGTTTCTTTGTTTTTATTCCATTCACTTATCACCTTGCTTGCTTTAAAACTTAACTTGTGATTGCCCAACATTTCCTTTATCACAAAGCACCACCTCTTTAGAAACCATTTCAGCAAAAAGATCTCTTGCAAAGACCTTCATTTTCTGCTCCCTCACTTTCGTTTCTCTCTACTCTGAAAAAAAAAATATATATATATATATATATTCCAATTTTATTTAGAGTTAGATGCTAACAATTAAAATGCCACCATCCTTGTTAAGTTGCTTTAGAGAGATCATTCTCTGCCAAAGCTGTGGTTGCCGTAAATGAGGTTTGAGACTGATTTTCTTCGCAGACAGAACATAATCTAAATTTATCTGCACAACTGGTGGCTAGTTTTCTTACTTCTGCAAACAAAATACAATCAAATATTCAGGGACACATGTCACCTTGATGGTTTGTGATGCCACACCATGATTATGTGCTCTTCTTCTCATCCTTTTTGTCCTCTTCAATATCTATAGAGTTCCCTGACTTCCTCATCATGATCATCATTATTGTCATTAATCTCAGGTCTTCTGAGTTCAACTGAAAGATTCAATTTGTCCAGATACAAAAGCCGCTGTGCCAGTACCAATGTCATCTTCTATATTAGACAAGAAAAGGGAAAGAGGAAAAGAAAATGTGTGAGTGAAAAGCAACACTAAATGGAGTGCTTATTTAAACATATTCTAAAATATGTTTGTCTACTTGACCTAACTACTGACTTAAATGCAATAAGAAGGCATTTTAACACCATTAGTATCTGGATTTCCGCCAGATAAAGCTCCTTGCTTTATATCCCCTTAGGCTGTACTGATGAAACTACCTAAAAATGGAGTTTAATAGCACTTAATTCATTTTAAATGCTAAAGCAACCAGTAAAGTGTATCAGATGATAAAAAAAAAAAATAAGATTCTAGAGTTTAAAGAAAGAATTCCATCAGGGACTTCCTTGCTTATAAATAAAATGTTTTGTGGTTTCTTTTGAGGTCATGGTGAGGACTCATCTCCACCAGGCAATGATTTCTGGCAGACATTGCCTCATTCCAAAAGCAATGATTTGGCACTTTCGTTGATGCTTTACCAGACATCACAGTGTGATTATGGCTGTTGATATGGCTGATGATGGTGGTCCTGATGGTGCATGGGACAGCAGGATCCTAAAATCCTCTCCACGCAATGAATTTAAGCAGTCCAAATTTCATATGCAAACTGCTTAGGGACAAGATGCTAAGTGTCTCTAAGTGTTTTGTTGAGAGCCAGTGTTTAAGTAAACATTACAAATTATGGTTGTCTAGTAAATAATGTGGATTGAAGCCCTTGAGAAATTTATTATTCATGATATACATCATTTTGTCAGCTGGATCATGTAGCTTTTTTTCTCAACGAAATTGACAGAAGTTTTGGTTTGATCAATGGCATGGAACAGTAAGTGTTTTTCAAAGACCCAGGCAAAACCAAGGCTTAGGAATCTCCCAAGCTGAACCCCCATCTTAAAGGACAGTCTAGAGAGATATCTAAGCAGTTAAGTTTCCTCTGCACAAGATCGGACTGTGTTTGGGGGAATGTTGTAGCATCCTTAGAAGTGTGTATGGCCCGTCAAAGCCTTCTTTTATTGTGTTTTCCCTGAGATGTCCCATAGGAATTACTCCACAAAGGTTATGGATTAGTCACTTGAGTAGACATTTTAGCTGAAACTCTTTCTTCCTTTTCCAGGCCTCATGCTTATATGTGTATTCACATGCATGCATTCATGTGTGTAAAGTGAAATAAAATTTACGAAGTTGATTTTCCATACCATCTTGAAAAATTAACAGTTCAAGCCATTTTGCCCCATTTCTTGTCCTACATAATATGTACTTTCTGCTTTTAGTTTCTGTGTGTAAGAGTATTTTCCTTGTATTCATGCATTTGATTAAGTATACAGTGAATATTCCTTGAGCTCCACCTATGAGTCTAGAACACTGTAAGCCCTGAAGAATAGGCGGTCACAGAAATCAGTCCACAATTACCTAGAATAATACACATACCAAAGGAGAAATGATAACAAAGCATTATCAGAAGCAGAAGGAGAACATATTCGTCTCAGCTTTCAGATCAAGGAGATCTTCCTGGAAAAGGAGATTTTTTCATCTCAATCTTACAGTAAGGAATACACAAGTGAAGAGGAAGAAATGTTCCAGCCAGAAGGAGGCACGTGTTCACCACGAGGTAAGATGGAGAAGCCATGTGAGGGAATTGCACTTCCTATGCTTGGCTGAGGCTCAGTATTGGAATAGAGGTGAGCGGAAAATGGGATTTTAGAGAAGGCGAGTGAGGCTAGTTTTGGTTTTTGGAGAAGGGGAATAGAGTTATCTGTGGCAGAGAGCCTCAAAAGGACTTTCTTAGTTCCCTTTGTGGGACTGAGAAATCAGTTTTCAGTTTTCTCATGTGTAAAATGAGGTATTTGGACTTTACAATCACCAAGGCCCTTTCCAGCTTAAAAATTCTGTGATTCTATGAATTTTTGGTATCTTGCAGAAAAACATGAAAGTATTCATGATCACAGGAATCAACATTCTCTTCTGTAACAGTTACGTTACCCAAGATTCATCTTCAGAAAATTGCTGTTATATTAACCTTGTTTCACACACAGTCGCATTGTTTAACTCTTATAATGGTTTTGGTTGTCAGTATGAAGGAAAAAAAAAAGATAATTGCAGATATTACAAATATTTTATTGTTTAACTCAGTTCTTAAAGAAACTGTGCTTAAAGTTTCTTATCAAATTAAAATGTCCTGGGAGCTAGTTTGCTGAAATTAAAGGTATGCGACTTTAGGTAGAATGATGTGGCCAAAATTCAAATAAATATTAGTTATCATTATTTCTATCAGTTTTGAAACTAGGTCAATAACATTGAAGTCTTTGACCACCTATATGGAAAAATATAGTTTTGAATTTGTTCATTTCTCTGCTCTGCAACAAAGCTTCATGCATAACACATTTTCAGCATCTTTTTTGGATAATTTCTACCTTTTCATCACCCTAAGTGTCAATCAAATTACATGTAATATAGAAATACACTTTCAGATACATACATGTTTTAATTTCTAGAAATTTGTAATTAATATAAAATGTTGAAATAAGTCCATGTGGGACAAATACGCTTCATCTTATTGCCCTCAAATCCTTCAATAAGAATTTTGTCTGGTAGTTTGAGTATTTATATGAAATAGAGGAAGAGGAAGAAACAGTATAAGATAACGGAGAAGAGGAAAAAGATTTATTTAGAGTCACATAGAATTACAATAATAAAAGGAGATCCTAGTGGTTCTGAGACATATCCTTACTGAATTCCCCAATGGATGAATTTTCAGGCATTCCATGTTATTCCAGAGAGCCTGAAAAATTTCAGAAAATCATTTTCTCCACTTACATTCAAAACAAGCAATCTCATTCATTTGACGAATAATTCCAATGAGACTAAAATTTGCCAGTCATGGGGTTAAGCACTGAAACTTACAAGACTAAAGGTAAGTCAACTCTTGTTCTCCAGGGGCCCATAGTACCATGGGGATTCTGCCTTATAATCAGCAATGATAAGATTCATAATAAATATAAATAGGAAATAAGCTTGAGGTACATTAGAAGGTTACAATGGAAGAAGATACATGAATCAATCTATAGAGACCTTGAAAGTTCTCAAGTGAAAATGATTTCTGAGTAGGGTTTGAAAGACAGGTGAGTTAAAGAAAGACAATTTTGGACTTCTGAGAATTATTAGCATTTACAGGCTATGCAGAGGAAGCGAAAAAAAAATAATACAGAGCAGAAAAGTCGAAGAGTGTTGGGAGATGCAGGTGGCATGAGCCTACAGAAGAGAAGGGCACGGATACCTTCTAAAACTGAAAGATTACCAAAGAAGTTAGGGAAGAAAATGACCACAAAGCAGATAAATGATACATCATTAGTTTTCTTGGCAAAGGTTACTTTCTGAAATTTTAGGAATAGTATTTAAAGACACTGGGCCAAAGAGTGACCTTGGGGCAAAATTTGCAACTCTTTTTATATGAGTTTTTTTTTTTAAATAATGTGAGGGCCAAAATGTGTTTAAATACAAATGGAAAAGAATTGGGAGTAGAAATTAAGTAGAAATTAATTCCAGAGAAGACATATTCAACCACAAGAGGGTTGGAGACTAAAGGGACCAATGGGGCATAGCTTGATGGCAGAGCTTCTTTTTAGCATATACAAGTCCATGGTTTCCAGGGAAATTGTCAAGTACATAGTAAGGTGCTAATTTTAGACGGGAAAGGGGGACTCCTTCAAATCAAAAGAATGAAGTGTTAGAAGGCTGCTTCATAGGTAAGAAACAGATGTAGATACTCTTCCTATCTAATAACTTCTGTTTTCTCTGTGTTGTTATATATAGAGCTATGATAGGGGAGTACAAGAAGAGATGTTTAATGAAAGTTTTTCAAACAACCTTGAAATAACACCATTGCCTACTTTGACAAAGGGCTAGTTGTTACTAGAGAGCCAACATTTATATTAATATAGTATTGAGGGATATTTTTTAAAAGTGTTCAGAAAACAGGTGTGGGAGAAGCAGAACTTTTGAATTCATGGAGGCTAGATTGAACGATAAGGGCAAAGAGACATCGTGGAATAATACAAAAAAAATGAAGACAGGGAAACACACCAGAGTATCAGTGTTATTGGAGTTTAGATATATTTGTCGTAATAACCAAGTAAAAGAGCTGAAACATAACAGATTGGAAAGGTGAGAGATTTCACAAGTAGCTATTTCACAAATCCAGCAGGTCAGTTTATTGTTTTGGTTTGGTTGGGGTTGATTTTATTTTATTGACAAAGTCATGAGAGGGAATGGGCTAAGCAATGCAATTATTCACTGCAATAAACATATTAAGGAACTAAACATGTTTAGTTTAGGGTTGGATGAGTGACACTGGTGTCATTTGTGATAATGGCAGAGCATTGTCCTTCCTCATGTTCTAACAATAAACTTAAAAGGCTAAACTTCTTTTGTGCTAAGTCTGTAGCCTCTCACCATTTTACACCCCACTGTCCTTAGGGGTAGTGGCTGCTGGTCAATCATATCCCCTCACTGCTACTGTGGGCAGGACATCCAGAGCTTGCAGAGAGCAAGCTGCAGAAGCAGGTTATCATGGGATACTAGAAAGTTGTATATATTGTCAGAGGAAGTGGAGGCCAATTTGGAATAAAAATCCAGAACACGAAACATTACCAGGGGACTTCCATTTTAGTTTGCGATGGTAATATGTAAGATTAACTGGCCAAAGTTTGCCAACATAAACACTTTCTGCAATGTCCTTATGGATGGGGAGAGAGCCAGGGGCAGAAGACAGAGTGGAGGTACGTGTTAACTTTGGGAAAGATCATTAGTGCAACTGCCTGAATGAGAACTATTTCTGAATGAGAACTATTCCAATAGGAAAGGCAGACAGCAGGACTATTTAATTTCCAGAACAATTCCTGCATATAATTCCATTGTTTTTGCTTTTATTTCATCTCTTTCTCTCTTTCCCTTTCTCTGTGCCTGCCTCTCTCTTTGCTTTTTTTTTACTCTTTTCTATTCATATATTTTATAGTGAATAAGTAATATTTCTATTTAATATAAAAAAATAAGATTGGTCAAGGTGCAGGCAAGGCAAGCTATGTCCAAGGAGTCTGCTGAGGCTTTCTGTACCCTGCTGCAGGTACGGCTGAGAGGGGCACACAGTGTCTCTGTCTCACCAGAGGTTCCATTCTAGCTGGCTCTGCTAGCAGAAGTACATTTACCCACAGGTTTCCCTTCATTCTGCTCTCCCATGACCTTTCAACAAAGTGTAATTCTGCAGAGCTGACTCTGGTACTTTATTACATGACCCGCATGTAACGCGTGGACACGTGCAGATGTGCCCTCGAGTTCAGCAGTGCAACGGCCCTCCTCCAGTATCTGACGCTCAACCTTTGCTCTGTGACTGCTTGGATGTCCCCTTGGAATGGCACATATCCACTTCTTTCATAATAAAAGAAAACTCATTCCATTTTTGATTGTCAAATTCGAAAGGCCTTGGCCAGCTAGAGGTCACCATCAATTGTTGAGCCACTCATTGTGGGACATCACCTTTCCCTTATTTCAAATGAAGCGGCAGTGGGAAGGAATTGGCAGGGGTGCGCTGCTTTCCTCCTTGTGGGAGAGATTTTTAAAAAGGAGAGAGATACTTTCATGAATCATGTAGGTTGTCTCCTACCATGCCAAGGAAATTATCTTCTCTACACTACCCATCAATACCATTGACCTTTGTCATAAAAAGCAGGTCGCTTATATCTATATCCCATTAAAAGGCATCATCTTACAATCACTTCTTCAGTACTATTAGAGTCGTGTCAAAAAGAATCATTGACTTATTGTCAAACACTTCCAACCTTCTGCATTAATGTACCCAGAGACACCTCACTAATCAGCAGGAAAACAATGCCAGATACCCAGGAAGCTGGGGAAACTGGGAAGAAGGTCTCTGATCTTGCCCTCCCCAGCTGAACTGTGCATTTTCCTTCTGTCCTATACATTGGCATATCTGATATTTCGTTTAGCACTTCTGCTCTTAGATATTTAGAAAAAAATACTACTTTTTCACTTTAGCCATCCAAAATGTCAGTGACAGAAACCTCACAGTATTTTAGAGGATAGAGATGTGTTTTTGTGGCACCTCTAGCTGTGTAAGTGATAGTAGGCATTAAACAGGTGACAAATGACAGCTCATTAAATACACCTTTTGGTGGAATTAACAGTAACATGAACTAGCTTCCTTACTTCCTTTTTTATTTCCCTACTTCCTGGTTCCTTTTAAGGGCATGATTTGATGTAGATAAGAGAAATTATGTAAATGCAGCTAAGGGTCTTGGCTGAAACTCCCTCATGCTATTAAAAGACTAGTGGTGAGGTCAGGAAGCAGAGAGAGGGAATAAGACCAGCATTCTGGAGTCAGAAGCACTTTGTCTGAAGTCATGACTGATTTTTTTATAGACACTCACTCAATAGTTCCTTGAGTTGATATTTCTCATTTTGCCAGGACTATTATCTCTGATCATCACATCAAATCAGCATAGTATATGTGTGTGTTTTTGTATGTGTATGTGTGTGTATGTGTGTGTGCATAATATTCAGTGTTTAGTCACACAGCACTTTTTAACCAACACTAACTGTTCCCCTTTTAAAATGTGACTTTTCCCCTTAGCTTCTTTTGCAGTAGACAATCCATGCTCAACTACTTATCTGGATTCTTCCATTCTGGTTTCAAATATTTAGTGGGTACAGGAAACATAGGCTAAGACCTGGAGTCTCTTTAGATAGTCTATATTTTGTCCCCAAGTATTATTATCCAGTTCCTTTGATATAATTTCCAAATTCATATCCACCTCTCACCTTCACTTAGAATTGAGATTCTCGTGAGCATCTTTTTATCATCGCCTAAGTGGAATATTTGATTGACCTTCCAAAATGTGTTTTCAAAAATTCTCTGGAAAATAAATAGATGAGACTACCATCTATCCAGCAACTCTAGCTGAGAAACTAAATTTTTTGTTTACCTCTTTTCTTTCTCTTACCTCTTACAGACAATCCATCAAAAAGTGGAAGCAAAAGCAAAACATTTCCATAATCAATCTAGTTTTTCAATCTCCATTGCTATCATCCTGATCTTATCAACCATGATTTTTCTTCTTGGCAACTGCAGGAAACTTTAACTGGCCTCTTGTTACTTTAAACTCTCTCTCCACTCTCTGTCTGGAGGGATCCTAGAAAATGTAAAGGAGATTGTTGCTTAAATTCTGCAAAGGCATCACTTAAGGCTAAGAATAAAATCCAATTCCTTCCTAGATGTCATGGCATGACCTTGTTTCTTTTCTTGTGCCCCTTGGCTCACTATGCTTAGGTCAGAAAAGCCTTCTTTCCATGCTTTTAATCTGCCTCTCTCTCTCTCAGTCTCTTAAGGCCTTTGAAATAACTCCTTCCTCTGTAATGTTCTCTTCACAAATCTTCAATGACTGATTTCTCCATTTAGACATAGCCTAATGAGAAAGGTTGTGCTATGTCCACACAATTTAGATGGATGCTAGTAATGTGATAAGGACTTGCTATTAAAAGTGTAATCCAAGGACCAGCTATACTCACATCATCAGAAAGCTTGTTTAAATTCAGAATCTCAAGTCCTACATACCATGATTCCTAAATCAGAATCTGTACCTTTAACAAGATCTCCAAGTGATCTGTGGCCACACTGAAACTTGAGAGTCATTTACCTAGCATGTTACTTTCTTTGTTTTTATCACTTACACTTCAAATGTTCTGTCATGTTCCAGCATATATGTATATAAGCTGTACTCCTCCACCAAATATAGGCTCCATGGCAGTGTGGACCTTATCTGCTTTGCCCACTTCCAATGTGCCCCAGGAAAAGAGTGTTGCCTGACATTCTAATCATTGTTTTATTAATAAATGAATTATCTAAATTTACCCAAAGTATATTCAACACGATGCTGTTGAAGAGGAGAAGAGTTGGGATAGACTCTCTTGCATTCACTTCATGACACTCAACTTCATGAAATAAATTGTACATATCTGTTTCTCTTTGGGATGCTGGGAGAGATTCACAATGCAAACAGTAGTCTGCCTTCAAATTGAATGGGGATTGAATGGAATGTCAGGCCTCTTTCAGCCTATGAAAGTTTCTGAGCACAGTCCTTAAGAGATCCTATGAATAACCCTGAGCTACTAGAGCCATAGTGGATGCTGGAGGTGTGCCCACCCCTTTGGCATAATAGTGTGTTCACAGCTGGTTATATCAACAGAATGAATTATAGCAGAAGAGACAGCAGACTAGAAAGAGGGGTGTAGGTAATGAGCAAATCAAGAAAGATAAAGGAAAAGAAAGAAAAGACCATCTGGGAAAGTGGATGGTGGCAGTAGCGAGTTTCCCAAAGTGATGCATGCAATCTGGAGGATAGCGAAGGTACAGCATACCTTCCTTTACCCAGCAGTATTGAATCTCCATATCATCACATTGTAATCTAACTTAACACCCCACATATGACAAATAAGATCATCTGAAGAGTCTCATTGAACACATAATACATATTTTTCCCCAAAAAAGTGGCTTTATCTTTGAAAACCATGAACATATTTTTTTTATATTCTCCACTTCTCATTTTCTCTCGCACCAGTACCTCCTCTGGTATCTCACACAGAGCTCTTCATTACTGGACAGCTCATACCTCTACAATGAAGAAGAACTGGTTGGCACACTCCTCAGACTTAAGTTCAGAATCTGGATGTTAATATAAATTTGTTGATGCTTTCTCTTTTATAAAATCATGCAGAAAGTTGGTTTGAAGTAAAAGTAAACACAGAACCACAAATGTGGGATGGTGAGCTCTGGAATGAAAAGGATATAATAGAGTATTATATAGTGGGGGGAGTGGGAAGAAGCAAGAAAAACAAAAATCTATGACATCCAAGAAGACAGTGATGTCTTTCTTTTGGGACCATGGCTCTGTCCAGTGTGGAGAAATTCTGCCCTTCTCTCCTCGTCTCATTCTATACATATCAAATCTGAAGAAACCAGCAGTTTCCACCTTAAGTTAGAATCACTGAGAGATTGAATCAATCAGAGCTGTCTAGAGCAAAAAAGCTTATGTCCTTTGCTTAAAATGATAATTTGAATGCTTTCATATTTTCTTAATTTGTTTAATGTCTTTTAAATTAATGTTTGAAAAACATGTATTTTTTTGGTGTTATGGATTGAACCCAGGGCTTCACACCTGTTAAACATGCACTTTATTACCCTTTTATTGATTTAGAGATACTTACCAACCTGGTACAGTGTCACACACCTATAATCCCAGCTCTTCGCCTAGGAGGCTAAGGAAGGAGGACCACAAGTTCAAAGCCATCCTGGGTAACTGAGGCCCTGTTTCAAAAAACAAAAACAAAACAAAATAAAACAACAACAACAACAAAAACAAGAAGGAAGGCTGGGGCTATAACTCACTCAAAGAGCAACCATGGGTTCAATTCTTTGTACTCCCAAAAAAAAAAAATAAAACAACAACAAAAGATATATATAAAAAATTAAAATTAAGGCAGGAAAATAAAATCTATATTTTAAACTTCCCATTCCTTCAAAGATGTGGGGTCACTTTGTCTTATGCATCCCGAATCCCTTACAAACAAGTTCAGTTAACTTCTCACCTGCACTGATGTTTTCCCACATGCTTTAACTCCTATATTCATATCGAGTAATCGTGTGAACTGCTTTTGGACTGGGCTGCTATATGCAGTTGAAAACTGAGCGTAGCCAGCTACAAATGAGTAGGATTCACATACACACAGACACACAGTCATCGTGTAGGCATGCTACAAGAAACTCAGGAGAGCAACATTAAACTCAACTGAATGCTTTTCAAAACTACTTGTTATGCTCCTAAAACACGTTTCACTTTGTCTAGACCCTGGAAAGGCAAAGGCAGCAGTGGAAACAAAAAAACAATGAATAGCAAATCTGGTGTTTTCCAACTCAAGAAGCTGCAGTTGATTTGAGAAGTGGCAGAACGTATAAGCTGCTCCCAATTTTATTCAAGCAAAATCTTCCATCCCTGCCTGTATATGCCTGGCCTCACACTTGGCGGTTACACACCAAAGCCCTCAGGAACCAGGGTTTTAGATCAGTGTCAGAGCATTTATATTAAAAAAAAAATACCCTGAAAATGCCAGCTCTACCCCAGCTAGAATTGCTTCCCCCGTGTCCTGCAGTTAGAGTTGTCAACATCAGTAATATACATGACGTTTGAACTTCTTCCAAGTGACTTACCCACACGCTCAGTCTCCTGAAAAATTTCAGTGTCTGCCCACCTGCTGTTCAAGTGTGGAGAAGAGATGAAACATTATTTTCCCCCTGAAATTAAAAAAAGCCTGAAAACAAACAATTCCTACTGAATGCCTCAGTTTGTGTCACATCCTCCTCTGCCCCATATTGTCAGTCTTCCTTCTATAGTAACTAAGTCTTTGCAACCCTGCTCTTTAACAGGATCTGATGCATAGGAAGCCTGATAAGATAGAACTATTATTATATACCACCTAATATAAATTTTTATGCCTAGGACTTTTTTGATGGTGATGAACATAATTGCAACTACTTCCATACTTCCAAAGGAGGAACAAGGAAGTTGATTTCAACAAAATGATTTGACATGCAAATGTCTTGATTAGTGTATGTATTATGTTTAATGCTTTGCTCATTACAAAGTGGAAAATTTCCTTGAGTATAACAATTGTATAAAAACTTTAAAACTGTTCCAAACTTATTAATTCTTTCATTTATTTAGTTTGTTTATTCATTTATAAGCTTTATTGTTACTCTGCTATGATAATAAAGGGAGTTTAAAAAACAATGTATCTGCTCCAGTTCCTCTTCTCAAAGGAACTTTTATTTTTGAGAGAGGATGAGATATATACATAGAAAAGGTAAAAAAAAAAGAATGCATTAACTAACAATGCAAAATTTAGTCATAAGAGATAGCATATGGTAATATTAAGTGTAAAAAAACAGTTTAGGAATGTAGTCAAGAGATATTTATATAGGTGGAGTGATCAGGAAGACAGGAGGCTTTTACTGGGCATTTTATAAATAGGTAGGATTTAAATAGTTGGAAAGCAGTGAAAAAGACATTTTCCATATGGGACAACAAGAGCAACGGCACAGAGGTGATAATGCATGTAGGACATGTAGGGTGGGAGGAAATAAATGTACTGATGAAATTCCTGTGTCAATTTAGTCCATTTATTTGCCATGTAGATCTTCCTCCGCCCCCCCCACTCTCTCTCTCCACCCCCCCAAGTGTTCTTAGGCATTTGACTTAGATTGGAAGTATTAGTTTGTTACAAAACCTTCAATTATTCAAAGAGTGACAAGATGGGAGAAAGAAGGATGAGAATATGAACTGATTGGGACTCCAGGAGAGTGAAGCAGTTAAGTTTGGGACTGTCTCAGATGGAGGAACACTGGTCATGTAGCATGTCCAGTAATCACAAGGCAAAAAGTTGTATTGGATCATCTTTCCTGTTCTCCATTTCAGATTTCCATCGATCTTCAATTCTCTTTGTATATTTAGTTTTCTAACTTCTCCAGCTACTCTTTGCTTCATTACCATGACCTCTCAGTTTTCATGCTCTATTTTTCAGTCTCCCCACATATTGTTTCTACTCACCCTGTCTGTCTCTTGACGTAGGCTCCCTCCTCTAACTCAGGAACCACAGTTAATAAATTTCCACGACCAATTTGTTCCTCCTTATATTTCTTCATTCTAATTCCTGAGAGCAAGAATCCAATTGTCTTAGCCCATTCACCTTTAAGCTTATATTTCTGATCAGGTTGTTTCTGCACTGCTGCATGGTCTAAAGACCGGTTGCCTTTGATCCTAGAACACTTCCCTTTCAGTAAGATACCTCCAGGAAGTCTTCTGGAATAGCTCCTGGACCCTCCACTCTCAAAGACAGCTGGGGACAGAAAAGTGTTCTTAGAAGACATTATGACAATGAAAGTCATAGTGACTGGCAAATCAAGGAAAAAAGGCAGGATACAATGTTCAACTTGTAATCTGATTCAGGAGAGATGAAACATTTCATAATAATGAATTTATTTAGTGTCTGATATGCCATGGGTAGTACCAAGACACTTCTTTTCATTATATTATTAAATATCCAAAGCCATTCTGTAAAGCAGTTATTGTTCACATTTTAGAGATGAGGAAAATAAAACTCACACCTATTAATCCCAAATCAAATAACTAGTAACTGATAAAACTTGGGTTTTAATATATGTTTATGATACTCACAATATTTATCTACCTCTAACATTTCCCCTCCCTCATTACACAACTCTGATAATTTCTGAGAAATTTTAATGTTATTTGGTGACTTCAAACTGGTGTAATCAATCATTTGATGAACCAAATAATTGCTTTTGCTCTCTCATTTACTTTAATTATGGGCAACATTGGGTAATACTAGTTCATATTTGTCAAATGTAAAATTAAAAAAAAACTTAAGCTTGCTTTAATTTTAAAATATCTATTGATGTGAAAGTAGACTCCCCTTATTTTCTACATGGATCATGTATGTCATTGATGATTTTGCTTAATTAAATTGTCCATTTCTTGAGTGCAGACTATTTTTAAATTACTCCTTACATACAGGGGCATCTTTATCCTAAGAAAAACATTTTATAGCTGGAAGTAGTAATAATGTGCTTAGGGAAAATGACACATTTATAGAACTGGATCTGGTATTTCAGTCATTCTAAACACAAAATGATATTTATTCAGTTAATTGTTTCAATTTGAAACAGGATTGTCTTACTGAGTTACAGCTCATTCCTAGGCACTCTAGGATGTCAAAGAAAGAACAATTATGATTTCTGATCTCAAAGTACTTAAAACTTATTTTACATGTGTAATGCACTGAAAATTGACAGGACAATAAGGTACAATGTGGGCAACAAAATGAACCGCATAAAAATGTGTTATATACACATTCAGAAAAATCAATGTAGGCTGGAAAGAAAAAAAGAATATAATAAAACTGGTGAGGGGAATTTCAAGGTAGAGCATTAAAGTAAGACAAATGTATACAAACACATCAACACTTGCTTAACTTACAGTCTGCTTAATTTATATCAGACAAATTTTGTTGTGAAAGGTGCTCAGTAAAATTAAGTAATTAAGATATAGATTTGATTTTATTTTAGATTTGGAAATCTTAAAATACATACATTTTGGAAGTCACTTGACTGAAATATCCATCAAAAATCCAAATAGTTGTTGTATTTCTTTCTCTTTGCCTTCATAATAAAAATGAGAGAGAATGTTTTGCTATTAACTATTTTTACATAGCAAACATCTAATTGACTGACAAACACTAAGACTAACTACTGACAAATATATCTCCCATGTAAGAGGTTCTTTTTGAAACATTTTTAAAATTTGCCAAAAAAGGAAGTTCCTGTCTTCCATCAAGTCCTTGCTTGTTTACAACCCAGAGAACGTGTATACTGAGCTTTGTTCTTTTCTTACTTCAATTTTACATAATGAGGAATGATGATTAGAGATCGAGATGTGTATTAGTCTTGCATGATTAGTTTTGTAAACTGCATAGGACAGTGTCCTGTCACTTCCATTTTGGCTAGCAAAGCAGAGTAGAAAGGTAGCAAGTGGGCCACCAACCATAGAAAATGTG